AGTCCAACCTTTTGCCTTTCCAAACAAGAGTCAATTCATTCAACTGGAGATGTTCGGACTGTTGCCAGTACGAGTACTTAGTCTTTGAGTACGCACTGATACCAAGTACCGATACCGCTCATACTTTTGACACAGCAACCAACCCCAATTTTTTTTTTTTTTTTTTGAAGTTTGCTCGTGAAGTCCCTCCCCCGTAATTACAGTTGTAAAAATCATCAAAACATTTCTGCCGTCCATCTACAATGATGTCCCTCTGAGGAAATTGCCCCCTCCCAATGTAAAGAGCCATTGATGTCATTTCCAAGGCCCTCCAAAACAAACCAATCCAAGCCACGGTCCACTGATCCTAATCACCTGATTGAGTGCTAATAAGTCTGCATGCTAATGACTAACTTCCTCTCACGTACCCCCTCTTCCGACCTGCGTGACCTCCGCGACCTCCGCGGCGGGATCTCCTCACACCTTCTCGCCCCCGTGTTATGAGCAAACCACTCAAACTGCGACCACCAACAACAACGCTTCCTCCTCGGCCCGACTGCATCGGCCACGACAACTCTTTGTCCCTCTCAAAGAGCCGCGCTGGGAACGTTTGCTTTTCGCGCGTGAGCTCGTTAAGTTTCCTCTCATTGGTTTTGACACTTTTTTTCTGTTTCCATTTTCACAGATCACCTTCCAGTTCAGCCTGTGGGATAAATTCCGGGAGCTTTCCAACCTTCCCGCCAGGACTTTTAACAATTTGATCCAGCTCGTGACCCTCTTCCTCCAGAAAAAGTGCTTCTCGCTCTCGCTGCTCAAAGTAAGCAAGCACATTCCGGACTCGAGGGGAATTCTTGTTTTGCTTTGCGAGCTAATGAATAATGCTTTAAAAAAAAAAAATCTAAAGAAGAAAAAAAAAATCATATGTTTCTTTAACCGTTAGTTGGTTGATGATGCAAATAAGAAGCTTCGTAGAGGGGAGGCACTCAGGTCCAACAAAAAAAAAATATTTTGGGACAGATCTGGCTATGCTACTTTCCCTCCACTTTCAATATTCTGTGTGGCTATTGGTCGGTCTGGCCTTGGTGGAGGTCTTCGCTCTGCCGGGTGCCATTTTCGTTCCGTTTTCTTTCTGGACATTCACACGGGTGGTTCTTTTGGTATTCTAGGTAATCGAGTTCGGAGAGCTCGACAAGGCCAAGGTGCGTTTCCTGCGCCAAGTCCTGACTCGACTGCTCACAGACACCGAGCCCGAGGATGTCATCGGCATTTTTTCAAGGTGAGCAACACAACCCACCCACTCCCGTATTAGGGGGAAAAAAAACGGGTAATACAACTGGCGTGAGCTCTGGAGTTATTTGCTGCTTCGCTAACCAAAACAGCAGCACCTATCAAAGTAAAAAGACGTGTGTTATAAAGAAATTCCCTGCGTGGTGTTAAAGACGCTCTTAGCTTCTGCTTCGTATTAGTCAAAAAAATGTGTTTGTCTACATGCATTATTGAATACAAATGTTGGAGACATTTTTGAGAAATATTCCAAATTGGACCCAATTTGGAAGTAGAAATATATACAATGCGTCATCTTTATTTGTAAAGCGCTTTCACAACAACCGAAGCTGTAACAAAGCAAAAAGTTTAACAGAATAACAATCATGTCGAAGTTAGCGTCCTCCCGCATTTCACTAAAGCTGCAGCGTCAAGATAGTTTTGCTTTTACGTGGGTGCTCCCTTTTTTTTTTTGCATGCTGTCGACCACCCACCGTCCTTCCGCCCCCTTCATTTGTTGCCCGCCTGCCAGGATTTCTGGAATTCCCCAGCTGCGAATGCTGCGCGAGGGCCTGAAGCTTTTCATCAGCCACTTCCTGCTTAAGAGCGCCGCGCCGCAGGACGCCGCGCTAACGGAGCGCGCTCGCATCGCCACCCAGGCCATGGAGGCCAAAGAGGCCAAAGTCAAACTGTAACCCCCCGCCCCCTCAAAAAAAGGAATGTCATTTAAATTTGAAAAAAAAATTCCATCCACAATAACTTTTCTGTAGCGCTCGTCATCATCGGGGTTGCGGGTGAAGACTTCATCTGTGCGAATGGAAACGTCAATTTTATTTGTATGCGTCATACATTTCGCTGTAGCTCCCGAAAGCTTTTCGGTGTGGTGTGAACAAGCGACGAGGTGTATACAGTGGGATCAATGGGCTCACTGTGTGCGCTCCACACCCTGACCTTTGCGTGCCACTTTGTAGCCGGCAGCCTTTACCTGCCCCGTCGGGTCTGACCCCGGTCTGAACTCTTGAGCCGTCGCCGCGAAAGCAAACACGGGCGAGAAGATAACGCAGGTGCTTCGCTCGAACAGCCTGTGACAAAACGATTGAATTGACTACAGCGGTAAGACTGGCGGCCAAGGCTTTTATATTTCCTGTGGAAGACGAAAAATAACCCCAAATGTTTTCATGTTTGTCATTTTTGTAAACTTATTTTGATTAATGAATGTGTAGGCTCTAAAATGAGATTTTAGGGCTGATATAAAAGTCTACACACCCTTGTTCAAATGCCTGTGGATTTTTTTTTTGGGGGGGGGGGGGGGGGTAGATAATA